ATTGGTGTATTTGAGCTGGTCTACATATTTTCACTACACGTCAATCCAGATGAATTGTCTATGTTATAGACTAATTTGTAGGTTCTCAAAACCTCTGTCAACTGACCAAGTAACCGTATGTGAAAATCTTGGAGTTCCCGTTCTCGCCCGTCACCTAGACTGGTCGTGTGTACCTAGGGATCGCTCATAAATTCTTCAAGATTTCACCAGTAAGCCACGCGAACTACTACCAAATTGAGAAAGGTCACCCACGGAACTTAAGTATGGACTTATTATCACATCTCTAGAAGAAGTCGCTCTAATTAAAACATTCTTGTAAGCTAAGCCCATTTACTTCATGTATGATAGGTCTTAATCTTACGTGTGAGCTATTTTAATCAGCCATCGCGACGAAACTGCACCTCGACGTCGTGTGATGGTTTGCGTGCCTCCATGACCCTGCAAGCTATACAGGATGGCTCCTCAGCCGCAGACCCAATCATGCCTGAAGGGTCAACGGGTAGAGGCCAGACGAAGATCAGTCTTGAATAAAGAACACAGCGCACAGTGTTGTACAATTTATTTCCGGAAAAATTTCGTTGTACCTCTTCAGGTACATACTGCAATCAAAGAATATAATGAAAACTAATAAGTAACATTCATCGCGAATGAGCTGTTGGTGTTATCTGCGTCCATCTTTCTACCAAGGTAGGGCTAATGTTACAAATAACTCCTTCTTCTTGCACAGTTCAGGCTTGCATCGTGTTATAGCAATCGTCTCTGCAAACTGGAGCAACCGAGAGTTTTGTTTAGGTGGCCGAGCACCCACAGACGAATTGATGCAATTCGTGGGATTCGGCATAATGCGGAAGCGGTTGCTTGACTGGAGGAGCCGGTATTCTGTCACATGTGTAGACGAAAACTGATTCGGCTGTTTTGAATGTTCGTTTGATGAATGAGCTTAGGTGGTGCTCCAACAAATTACTCATATCCTCACCCTTGAACGGCAGTTGTAGAACAACATTACACTTCGGTACGGATATAGGTCGCTTTACGTTTGAACGTGCAATGCTACACTTTTCGCGAATGAGCTCGGTTAACCGTTGTCCTGGAGAGTGCTACAGAATACCGACTCCTCCAGTCAAGCAACCGCTTCCGCAGTATGCCGAATCCCATGAATTGTATCAATTCGTCTGTGGGTGCTCGGCCACCTACCCAGGCAGAACCAAGCGGCAGCTTAGACAAAGAGTAAACGAACATATCCCTGTGTGGGTCAACAAACTGGTAAACGAATCACACTCGAATGATCAAGGTCAAAGGTCGACCCAACGCCGCACACCAACGTCACCGATCGCTCGTCACTTGCTAGAGACTGGGTATCAATAGCTCATCCGCGGTAAATGTTACTTGTCAGTTTTCATTATATTCTTTGACTGTAGTATGTACCTAAAGAGATACAGCGAAATTTTTCCGGAAATAAATTGTGCAACACTGTGTGCCTGTTCTTTGTTCAAGTTTAAGTCGGGAAAAGGCTGTTTCAATTTCCTCAAGAAGATCAGTCTCACAAAGCCAGCTGCTTGGGCACCTGCTGGCTTCCTTCCTTCTATCCACACCCGCCTCTGGAGAGGTCACTCCAGCAAATAAACACAGTGAGGGGCAGTTTACCGGTCAAAAACTCCCCGTTAGATAGACGTAGGAGTGGGGTACCTGGGGCTTTCTCTCGACGGTGGGAGAAGTCTTCGCACTTCATTGGAGTGCTACCGTCCGCCCAAGCTGGGCAGCCTCCAGCCAATAAGGTGCTGTCCCGTCCACGTTCCGCTTGTCTCATTGGGTGCATGAGGCTGAGGGCTGATCCCGAAAAGCGGACCGAAAATCAACGCACCAGCGAACAAAACAACTAATCGAAATTCAAAGGCCTTGCGTGACAGGTCTCCAGAAGCTGCCACACGGGTTGGATTTACGTCCCACTGCCTTGTGGGTCAGACTCTTGAGTCAAAGGCTCCGGTTAAGGTTCCCAAAGAAAAACCCCCTTCACCGGTGTGGGCTGCCGCGAAGTATGTCGTGCCCTAAAGTTTTAGGCACCCATTTGAACAACCATCTTTCCTGTCTGTCTAGCTCTTCCTCTCAAGCCGGAATAATTCCAAACGCCTGCTTTTTACAAGACCCATCGAATGTCACTCAGCATTTTACCATCAAGTCCAGACAGTCAGAAGCTATAGGATTTTTGAAGCCGAAATAGCCTTTTCACTTAGCTGCATTCGAAGTCGGCACACAATCAGATTGACCAATAAGCTGTCTTAGCTAGAACCCTCGAAACTTTCAATTTAGATGTCTGTTGTGTCTCCGAAACACGCATACAAGAACTCATTTCCATTGTCCCCCTGAGTTCTCCTAATCGAACCTCAACCTCACGCTTCACCCTTCGTGTGTCAGGCGATTCGGTATCCGAAGCTCGTGGTGTTGCTGGTGTCGGGATTGCGCTAAGTGCCAAGGCTGAGCGCTCGCTTCTTGACTGGATTCCAGTCAGTAGGCGATTGTGCGGTGTACGTCTCAACGGTTCAGTTCGAGTCAACAGCTACAGAATAAAGCGTCGATGCTTATTCGTCGTATCGGCGTATGCACCGACCGATTGCAGTACACCTGAAATCAAGGGTGAATTCTACAAGGTGTGCCCGAGAAGTTAATTTCTATATTACGATCCCTCTATACTCATAGCCGGAGCTGAGTCCGAGCTTACGGCACGTTTTCATCCGGGTTCACCACGGAAAGTGGTATTCGACAGGGTTGCCCTCTCTCTCCCCCTTTCTGTTTAACTTTGTTATAGATCTGATTATGGAAACAGGCGTATCCTCATGCGAGGGTAATGGCATCGATATAGTCCCAGGTGGCAGGCTGTCTGATCTAGAGTATGCAGACGACATTGTGCTACTAAGTGACGATCCAGGTAAGGTGCAAGCTTTTCTGGATAGTTTGAGTGCTAGTCTAGCTAG